AACCACTATTCTATTCCCCTCTTTTAAGAACTCATCTCCTTTTGCCTAACAACTGCTACACATTTATTCACATGCTACAACAACTCCCTGCATAGTGGCCTATGAGGCCCCTTGTGATATGAGTGCGACTCACCAGCCTCATCTTCTACGAGGTTCCTATCACTCACTACAATCCAGCTATGCTAGAATTCTCACAGTTTTTAGAAAACAGTCAGTGTTGGCCAGGCACAGTGGCTCATGCCCCTAGTCCGAGCAGTATGAGAGGCCAAGGTGAGAAGACTACTTGAGCTCAGAAGTTCAAGACCAGCCTGAGCAAGAATGAGACCCTGTCTCTACTAAAAATAGGAAAATTAGCCAACCATTGTGGTGGATGCCTGTAGTCCCAGCTACTCAGGAGACTGAGGCAGGAGTATCCCTTGAGCCCAGGAGCTTGAGGTTACTGTGAACTATGACACCAAGGCACTGTAGCTGGGGGCAACAGAATGAGACTCTGTCCAGAAAAAAAAAGAGGGAGAGGAAGTGGAAGTGAAAGGGGGAGGGAGAAGGAAAAAAGAAAGAAGAAAGAAAGAAAGAAAACAGCCAAATAGCCAGTCTAGTGCTACCTATGTCTGTAGTTCCTTTGCCTAAAATACTCTTCCCCCAGATACTGCCTGGCTTGTTTTTTGTTTTTGCTTTAGTTCTCTTCTCAAAAGCCATCTTCTCATAGTGACTCATCTGCTCAACATCTCCAAAGTTTTAGACCCTGTTTCTCCTGTCCTCCTTCCCCCATTCAGTCCTTTCTTGTAGTTTGCATCATCACCTTATATATAACATTTTTATTTACTTAATTTCATCTTCCCGCCCCACCACTACCAGTGTAAGCTCTGTGAAGACAGGTCATTCCCTCCTGTGTCTCTGCTGCATTTCTTTATCTGTAATAGCATCTGTCACGTGATAGGCTCCAATGATCATTTGCTGAATGTGCAGTGAGGCAGTTAGACATAGACTTTAGATCAGGACTGCCTATAACACTTAGTAGTTATGTGATCTTTGTCTTCTCATAATATAGTAGGAAATAATATCTGCTCAGGATTATTGTAAAAAATTATAGGAGTCACTGTGTGTAAAGTATGGAGCAGAACATCTGGCCTACAGCAGGCTTTGTTCAAATGATTATTAATCAGCTTTAACAATAGATAATTCTCTTATTTGCTATCATAATTGAGCTGATGCTTAATACATGATCATTACCACACTATTGGTAATGGGATCAGTATCTTGTTTCACATTTTTAGAGGTGGTGTTCACACTTGGGTCAGGAACATAGAGGAGGGAATGGAACGTAGGGGAACTTGAATGATCTGCTACTCGGCAAGAATGACGAAGCAAACAGAAGAAAGATTAGATCCTGAGAAACTAATTCATTGAAAGAACCATTTACAGAAGAAAACGAGGGGCTGTGCCTGTGGCTCAAGGAGTAGGGCTTTGGCCCCATATACCGGAGGTGGTGGGTTCAAACCCAGCCCCAGCCAAAAACTGCCAAAAAAAAAAAAGACAGAAGAAAATGAGGATGAGAAAATGATAAATGAGGAAAGATTGTGAACTAGTTTTAATTCTTTAAGGGCAAAGTCTAAGTCCCAGAAATCCACAGGTGCCTGACCTGATGCAGCAGCCATGCGCCTGGAACCAGCCCCTTCCTCTGCACACAGGCTGAAGAACGGTTGCACCAGGCTACTACTCATCGTTATTCATGTGCAGGTCATACACTTGGAGACCCTGTTTATGTTGTTCCACTTAATTAAGCCTTTCATACTCAGTTTATCTCATTTCTGAGATAAACAATATCAACCAAGCATTCTCCAAGGTCTGTCCTGGGCCTGTGGCCACCATGCTCGTCTGAGCTTAGGCTCCAGCATATCCTGATTCCGTCAGACCTACTGCACCCTCCTAATGCGAGGTAATGCCACTCACAGAGAAATTCGCTCACGACTGAGAATATTCTCTCCTTTTTTTCCAAACCTACCCTCTATCATTTCTACTGTATTTGTGTTCACAATAAAACACAGTAAACTCCAGGTCTGAAATGTAAGCAGAACAGATTACCTTCTTGGTTTTATACCTGGTAAGAATGGACAGTGTCATCCATCCCTAATCATTGAGAAAACCACCCTGGCCCTCTAGAACAGTAAGTACTATGTTCTGGAGTTCCAGCCAAAATGATACCGTCAACAGTACTAGGTGACATCTCTGCCTTGGGGGCAATTTAATTACACATTTTGCTCTTAAGTACCGGATTCTTATGCAATTCTGATGAGATTACTTAGCCCAAAGGTCGACATGGCAAGGATGACCCAGAATTTTTCTGACACTGTTGTGGACCAATATTTACAACTTCTCAAAATTCTGTTGAGCTGCTCTTTCTAGCAACATAGTCACATCATAGCCTGTCCTCAGGCTCTTTTTGAACTCTTCATGCCAATTTATGAGAAAGGATGATGTACGTGTGCAGATAGCCCATATCTGTCACCTGCAGAGGTATCTCTTATACCTCACCCAGATACATGATAACTTCTCAACTATAGTATCTTGTCAGTAGTTTAATTAGAAGACATTAAGCTATTTTTTTCATGAACCCAGAGTTTTCTGAAAACCGCTGTAGACAACAGTCACCTTTCCATTCCATGTACAGAGATTCCATGTACAGCAGAAGAGAAACCCAAAGAAGCACTTTGTGGCTGAGTTTGCTGCTCACAGCACAGAGAATTCTGACAAAATGCTCTGGGATCTCCCCTTCCTAAGTTCCTATCAGTATCTTAACATTTGACCATGGCCATAAAGGCAACAATCTGAAGGAAAGAGAAAACCGAGAGTGACCATTTTACCAGATTTGCACAATGTAGGTGATGCACTTACATTTTCAGTGATACCAGCACTTTGGAAATATAATAGTACCAGATGAGCTATGCCCAATCAGGTAGAGACTGGCATCACCAAAAGCTCTTCTGGCAAGTCAAAGTATAATCTCATTTGTGCATTCAGTAAACGTATTTTAATTACCCACTGTATGTTAAGCTATAATCTAGGCCCTGGATTATAAATGGGTTTGGGATAGATAAAATACAGGATGTTATGGTGCTTATATTTAGATGAGAAGGGCAATAAAGACATAACAATAAATAAGGTAATTTCAAACAAAGTAATTGTTCCAGATAATCAATTAAACTACTGCAGTGAAGTGTGCTACTTTACTTAGACTAATCAGCAAAGGTCTGTCTAGGGAGGCGACACTTGAGCTGAGAAGAAGCTTGACATAATTGTGGGACAGAAAGGAATCTGGTGTCACACAAGCACAGCATGCAGAAGAATTGGACCCAGAGACAGACAAAACAGTCTAGCCATATAAAGGGTTCAAGAACAGTTGTGACCCAAAACTAGAATCAGGGGCAAAATCTATTCAAATGGGAAATGTTGAAAATGTTTTTACTACACACTTGTGCCAGAAACTGAGGGGTCCCTCCTTGAATTTTCATTTTGATAGAGGTCATTCTCTATGGATTTTAATCCTAACTTTTATTATTTATTGCTCCAATGACTTGAGATTTCACCTTACTACCTGGACTCCAGCAGCCTGCCTCAAAATAGCCCATCTGAATTTGTTCTACAGGTGGTGATGGTGTCTCAACAGTGGACAGACGGGTCTAATGTCTTGCTCATGGGTAAGAGTGCAGCCTGGCATGTGATTATGAAACCCTGTCTGATAACCCCAAAATTCCCAACATGGAATTATAAACTTCCACTAAAAACTCAGCCTAATCTGTTCAATTATCCCAACCAAGGGAAGAGGTTGACTGGATATCTCTATGACCTCTGAACACTTTCTGTTTTCCAATAGGTTTGATCAAATATATCTCAATTAATAAGATAATTTGAGAATGTACATTTAAAAGACTAAGAAAGGCAAACTATAAATAATAATGATAACAATATTAAGAAGCCAAAATAGCAAAGAAAAGCAAACATATAGTTTAACTGACATCTAATCACTCCTTTGCCTCACTGCCTTAGGCCTCTGCCCATTAAAATTTCCCTCAGACCCCATGCCCTTCTTCTTATTATTCAAAATATTAATTTCTCCCCTGAATATGTACATTTACAAAAACACACATAGACATACACAATCTCAGGGGAAGTAGGAATGCCAGTTCAACCCTGTCTTCACTCTGACAAGAGACATCTCACATGTTATTATTTTCTTTAAATATCCCTGGAGGTGAATCAACACTATGGAGCTGAGGCCCTCACATCTCTTCTACACCTTTGCTGAGAAGACAAAAGGGGAAAGATTTTAATAAGAGCACCGTCAAATGATGCAGAGATATCAAAGAGGAAATGGAGTAAGGCAACACCACTTGATCTGTCACTGAATTTATTTCAGGCAGCATTTATTGAGAAATATTACTTTCAGGCACAGTTACTTTCAGAACCAGTTGCGTAATTTGTGGGGTTCGTGCAAAAGGAAAGTGCAATGTCTCTCTTTTGAAAACTAAGAATTTCATGATGACAGCAGTGGAACATTAAACTGAGCATGAGTCCCTTCACAGAGTGAGATCTTTCGTGGTCCTGAACTCAGGCTTTTGTCGTGGATACGGACACAAATGTCTAAATCCTATTTTCAAACAACTAAGAGAAAAGAGGAGCAGAAACCTAAATAACTATGCTTCAGAGTAGTAAAATATGAGTGTGTTTATGAAGATCAGTTTGATTTGGGGAGTACAGAGGAGTTTTCAGTTGGGTGATCCTGGGAAGGTTCCATGAGGAAAAGGCATCTGAATTACAGTTTGAAGAATTGACAGTAAAGAACATGTGTATAACCAAAGTAGAAAAGATACTGCTGGAAGATGAAAAAAAGAAAAAATAGATTCCTAAAGGGATCAGTATCTTTGCTAGAACAAACTGTTTTAATAAAATCATGTTTAAGATACAGACAAGGTGTATCTTTCATGTGTAAGGTGAAACTAATGTCACCAGAATTGCTTTAGGTTTGTTTTCCACTTCTCCATGAATTTTTTTTTAATCCATGATTCTTTTGCCAAGCAGAGCTGATGCCCTGAACTCCTGATGTCCTGGGTATTGGCTCCCACGGGAAAGACAGTGCTGGGAACATAGGGAGAGACATGGTTCCAAATTGAACTGCGGGAAAAGAAGAGGATCTTAATCTCAAGGAATGGAAATCAGAGGGGAAAGTGGAGGGAAAAAAGAAGATGGAAAATAGAAGAACGAGTTAATTCGAGGTTGAACAAACAAAAAGCTTACCATTGTTTTTCAAACCATGAGTTAACTACAACCAACATGACCAGAGTAACTACTACGGTCAAACAGATCAGTATCAGAAGGATGGAGTATCTGCCTGGTTGGGGATAAAATACAAATATCAATCCATAAAATACAGCAGAATCTTCATAGCTGACCACCTCCCTGCACTGACCACCTCCTTAAGTTGACCTAATGTTCATAGATTGGACATGCACCATATGGAAGTATCAGTACAGGAGGCCGTTGACCACCTCCTTATGTTGACCAGTTTGTTACAGTCTCTTGGGAAGCCAACTTACAGTTAAGCTTTCTCATTTCACAAGCCCACCTAGAATCTCCATCTGTGTTGTCTACAGCCCTCATTTTAGTTCCTCCTGAGTCTGTCTGTGATCTCCCACAACCCTCTTCCATCACATTACTAGTTCACCTTTTCTTTCTTCTTTAGTACCTCTAATCCCCTCTTGCATTTTCTTCAAATTTAACTGCAGTCATTTTCTACCCTTCTTCATTTGAATTCTCCTAATTCTATCCTTCTGTTGCTACCCATTTCCTCTGCTCTTCACTCAAAAGCCCTAGGGCCATCTTCCATTACTTCCCAGCTGGGCTCCCACTCATTCTCACCCCAGTGGATGATTATATCATGGCCTCCAAGACTGCTGTGCTTCACCAGACAATACAGGCCAGCCACCTCCCCAGCCGCCACATCCAGGGTCACTCGAAGATACCACGTCCCATCAGCATTGGGCAGGAGGTCACCTTGCCGAGTGCCCGGCTGCTTCTGCTCACCCCGCATCCACATCACCCACACGGGCTTTGGGTAGAATCCTGAGACATGGCAGACCAGCAGCAGACGGCCAGGCCCAGGGCTGGGGCCACTGGACAGCCAGACCTCAGGCTTCACTGGACAAGAGAAGATGGGAGAAATGGAATTTAAGAGAAACCCCAGGCTAGAGCTCAAGGACTCTGGTGCTTTAGAAATTTGAGCAATCACTTCTTTCTTTGTCTAAGAAATAATCCTCAACCCATACATCTCACCCTCTGCCCTCTCATTATGTGTTTTAAATGATAACAAGAACTGGCAACTTTGAATACAAAAGCTAAAGCCCTAGTGCTAGGAGAGGAGGCTCACCTTGTCGTTCCAGTTCTGACCTTCCTGCTGTAAGGAGGCCTGTCAGAAATCGAGGACAGGTATAACCAAGAAGGGTCTGCACTATTTCTTTAATATCTCTGTATCGATTGAGCAATTTGCAGACGTTCTGAGCCCGACTCCCTGCTCCTGGAGATGGCACCCATGAAGTTCCTTGAAAACTCAGGAAATCTGATCCTTGATACGCCCCATTTAAGAATAATTCAGAGGTCTTCCCAGCATTAATTTTACAGCCGGCTGATATCTGGACCTCAAAGGGATCTGAGGGTAGACAGGAAAGAGAGAATCAATATGAAAAGAAGGATAGAAAAAAATAAACAATTTAGAGAGTAATGAGTCTCAAGGGAAGAAAAATTTTCTGGGAAATCATATGGAAGACTAGATGGAAAGGGGAAGGAAATTTGTGGGAAGAAAATTTGAAGATGATAAAGGTACTGTAAAATGATTAATGGGGAGGGGGTAGATGGGAAGGATAGTCTGGAAGAACTCATGTGAGAGTGGTAAGGTATAGGGCAGGCGGTGTATCAGCCTAAGGAGGAAAGTGGCCAGAAGCCTGGTTGGGAAAAACTGAGTGTGAGGCCAGGAATGATGGGCATAAAATCAAAAAGAGACAACAATTCCAAGGAGCCAAGACTTGAGGGCATGTTGGGGGCATGCAGAGATGTGCACATGCAGACCCTTCACTGTATATGGGGGGTGTAATGATGGGTGCAACAGAGTGGGAAAGGGGAGACAAATGGAAACAAGAAACAAGGTCAAAGGTTGTTTAAAGGCCAGAGCCATATACTACCTGTCAGGCAAATAATCAGCTTACAACAGTGAACTCACATTCTAACTGAAATTGACTGACATAGGCTGGTATTTCCCTGGTAAAGGCATGCAGGTAAAACTGGAACAGCGCCTGTATGTGCTTCATCTCCTCCTTGCTGAAGGTTCCCCGGGACCAGGGCCGCAGGAAGCGGATGGTGCCCACAAGCCAGTCCCAGGAATGAGTCTCCAGGTCCCCCAGCCAGGCTGAGCCCAAGGTGCGCGCCCAGCTGTGGTTGGCAAAGGAAGAGATCTGGACCATGCGGAAGGTGGGGGGCTCTTCTGCTGCTGGATGACGGGATCCTAGAGCTGGGGTAGCCAAGGGAGGGGAAGGACAAGTGGAGAGAAGGCAAAGAGGCCACAGGAGGAAGAGGAGCAGGACAGGAGAGAAAGGAGGAGATAGTTAGCAGGAGGCACATATTCCAGGACCCTCTCCCCAGTGCCAAATTCCTCTCCCAAAAATCAGAGTCAGAAGCCAAGACTGTAGGCAAGAATTCTGAGGCTGGAAGTAGCCTGGAAGGTAGACTCCAGGGGCATCTCTGAGGAGCACTGCTCCCTTTTCCAGGTCCTCCCCAGGGCTCCGTCACCCACCACACACATACACACTGTGCTCTATGCAGGTGTCCTTCCTTCTGCCTCAGCTCTTCTTACCTGCCATGCCTGCCCCAGGGCAGCAGAGTTCCCTGGAGAGGAACAGAATCAGGGGAAAGAGCAGCATCAGAGCTCTGTCAGGGGAGGGATGCCTCCACAGTACTCCCGCCCTGGCATCTCAGACATCAGCACCCTCTGCATACCCTCTGTTGCTGTCAGCTGACTTCCCCTGCTGCACAAACAGGGCAAACCTTTCCCTCTGCCCACTTCCTTACAAAAAAAGCCCCACTACCTCCCTTTGCCACAGCCTCCCACAGGGTCTCTCATTTCCCCTTCATCCCTCCCACTGTCTGGCTTCCAGATTTTATCCCAACTCTTACCAACATCCTCCCAGCCCCCTCTATTGCACTATCTGCTGTAAAAGGAGTCCTGGTTCAGAAAAAAATCTGTGGTCTACCTAAAAAATGTGGTAGCTTTTGACCTTGGAGAAATCAAAGGCACACTTGGGTTGCCAATGTTCTCATCTTTGAGAAGCGATGGATGGCAGTGACTCCAGGTGGTATCCAGCGACCTGTCCAGCAGTCTCCTTGCTCCCACCTCTCTGCAGTCTTCCCCTCCACCAGTATGCTGCCTCGGCCTCTTTCTCCCTCTTCTTATTCTCCTGTTTTGCTCTACTGAGCCATCCTTTTTGCTTCCATGTCCACTTTTGCTCTTCTCACGTGCCTGCCTGTTCTTGCTGGCCCCTGGGTCTCTCTCTTGTTCCATCTTGTAACTTCTCAAATCATTATCAGATGACACTAGGTTATCCTGAGCACAGCTAAAGAAATGCCCATTTGCTCAGTTTTCTTTGCCAAAGCACCTCTCACAGTTGAAATGGTCCATGAATGGGTCTGCCTTGGAGGTGGTAAGCTGGGGTGCAGGCAGATTTTGCCCACACTCTATAGGTTGATCTGCAGGGAGTATACAGGGGCCTTGGATATCTACCCAAAGGAAATGAGCATGTTGAGAAGCCTGTGGGCTAGCTTCACCTTGAGAACAAGGGGAGTGTGAGGGCAAGCATGACGGTTTCCATTGCAGCTCATGGCCCAGAAGCACAGGTACTGAGTCTTTATTTTTGTTCCTTTTTCACTGATATTTTTCATAACAGCTTGAAGTGACATATACAAAAAATTTGCCAGACACTAAGAAAACTTAACACAAAATCCAACCCCAAACCTCTACTTTTCTTTTAGAAAGGGCTTACAGAACACTGGTCAGAATTACTGAAAAAGGTCCAAACTCAGTATCATCTTAGAATTGTTTCTAAATTCAAGGGTTAAAAAAAAAAATCTTTAAAAGTTCCAGACAAAAAATACTGGCTATTACCAAGAAGAAAATGACACTGGCTTCAGATGCCTCATATGTGACACAACGAGAAAATATTGCAGAATTCTGGTAAGCTCAGTAATCCTAAATTCTTTACCGAAGTAAATTATCATTCTCTACCAGGGAAAAATTGATCAATTTATGAACATTCTACAACTCAAACAAATATTCCATATAACATCAAACGAAATATTAATGTTAAGGAAGAACTCAAGAAATGATATAAAAAAAAGACTGATATAAACTAATTTTCAAAAACAGAGTTATCTCTAAATAGTTGTTTAACATATACTTATAAAGTTCAACATGGTTGTTTAGTATTTGAGAAAAAAGTTAATAATTAGGAAATTAAATCTTATGTTATTTTACCAAAATCTGGGAAGGAAATGAAAAGAAAGGGGGGAAATTGGGTTTATTTTAAATGATGTCTTATTGGTTACAGAAGTGGAATAGAAAGTGCAGGCAATCAGAAAAATTGGTTAAGTTATGATGTTTATAGAAGAGCAGGCCAAATCAAGGAGGTGGAGACCACAAACATTTAGCTCTTTTCTCTCATTTATTTTTTTTTATTTCCAGTTAATGTGAGGGAATAAACAACCAGGCCAAAATATTTTATTTTGATGGGTAGAGTCTCTCTTTTGGTTCTGTCCCACACTCAAAAGGTGTGCCAAACACCCCCACACTCCGCCTGTTCAGTGGGAGTATTCCAACCCACCTCCTCTCTCCCACTCCCTTGTTGTCCCTCCCCTGAAATTGAATTGAAATGAGTTTTTCTCCCATGTGGACATGGCTTAGATTGTCTACTGGCTTCATGTTAGTATTGAGTACGTTGCATAATTGCTTTTCAATTTTTATGATACTTTACTAAGAAGAATGTGTTTGCACTCCATTCAAAATAATACAAAAGATAAGAAACACCATCTTTTTTATGGCTGAATAATATTCTATGGTATGCATATACCACAATTGTGTTTTTTTTTTTTTAATTGAATGGTAACTATGTACATTAATGCACTTCTGGGGTACAGTGTGGGGTTTTCACACACAATCCGAAACACTTCCATCAAACTGGTTAACATAGCCTTCATGTCATTTTCTTAGTTATTGTTTTAAAACATTCACATTCTACTTTTAGAAAGATTCACTTGTACCCTTGTAAGATAAACCTCAGAAGTGATCCTTCCAACTACCCTCCCTCCACCCATTCCCCTCTCCTCTCTCCCTCACCCCTCCCCATATTCTTAGGCTGTTATTGGGTTATAGCTTTCATATAAAAGGTATAAATTAATTTCATAATAGGGGTGTGTACATTGGATACTTTTTCTTCCATTCTTGTGCTACTTTGCTAAGAACATTTTCCAGCTCCATCCATGTGAACATGAAGGACGTAGTCTCCATCTTTCTTTATGGCTGCATAGTATTCCATGGTGTACATATATCACAGTTTGTTGATCCTTTCGTGGATCGATGGGCACTTGGGCTTCTTCCATGACCTGGCAATTATGAATTGGGCTGCAATAAACATTCTGATACAAATATCTT